CCCCAAAACCCCAAAACCCCAAAACCCCAAAACCCCGCCTCAAAACTTCATAATTGGAACAATAAAAATAAAATGAGTGTTGTGTTGACTTATGGAAGTGGTGAATGCGAGCAGCTAGGCCTCGAAAATTGCCCAATAGAGATCAAGAAACCAAGAATTATCCCATTCTTTAAAGCCCCAATAAAGATCAAGGAGATTGCCTGTGGAGGCATGCACACGGTCCTATTGACTACCCAGGGCCGTGTTTATACCTGGGGCTGTAACGATGAAGGTGCACTTGGAAGAGAAGGAGAAGCATGCGTCCCCGAAATTGTTACGGGGCTAGGAGAGTTGATGACCGGTGTCACATGTGGAGATTCACATTCAATCGCGTATAATACAAATCTTTGTCAAGTCTATTCATGGGGTCTTTACAGAAACTCTGTGAGTGGACCTATAGGAAACATAGCCAAGACTCCTATGAGAGTGGGTGAGGGTGACCTTAAAGGGCTCAAATTGAAGAAAATTGTTTCAGGATCTCACCACACTCTCATGCTTGCCAGTGGGAGAGTTTTTGCATGGGGAGATCCAGAAAGCGGGAAAATTGGTAGGAATATCAAAACTCGGAGAAGAAACGAGAGTGGCTTAACAATGCAACCAGTCGGCCTTAAAAGAGTCAAAGATATATTCTGTAGCAGAAATGCTTCCTTCGCTATCTCAGAGGATTCCAAGGAGAACAAGAACCTGTATAGCTGGGGGCTCAATAACTGGGGTCAACTTGGATTGGGGCATAACCAGGAAACCTCCAAGCCTGAGGTAATAAAAGATTTTAAAAACAAAAATGTCCTCAAAGTCACAGGAGGAGATTCCCACACTGTGATTCTTGTTGAGGAAGAAACTAAAGAAGGTGGAAACAACACCACAAGGATATACACAGTGGGTCTTAACGACGAAGGACAACTCGGAATCGGAGATACTTATAGTGAATACAGAAGAAACAAAAATGAGACGAATTTTAAATTAGAAGATGAGGAAAGGAAAATCCGGGAAGAGACAGAGAAAAAGGTCAAAGAAATTAAAGAACAAGATACTGACAGCAAAGCCAAACAGAAAGAAATCAATAAGACTAACAATGAGCTCAAGAAAAGACTGAAAGCCATTGAGGCAGAAAGGAATTCCTTGGATAATTCAGAAGATGCTCAGTACTTTACCACCGCCCAACTTGTCGAGGGAATCACAGACGCATTTGATATTTCAGCAGGGGCTAATTATAGCTACGCCATTAGGCAAAGAAAACCAGTGGCTAAATCTATGGAAGAAGTCAAAGGAGAAGAGTCTAAAGAGGTAGATCTTAAAATCAACCAGCTCTATTCTTGGGGAATGGGTGACAACTACGTTCTCTGAAACAAAGATGACGAGACTGTTTACACTCCCACAGAGGTAAAAGTGAATATGTTCAGAGATCTCAACCCTATTTCTGTCTCTTGTGGCACTATGCACTGAATAATGAGGTCTATCGCACTTGATGAGAAGCCAGAGGATTACGGTCTTGATCCAATCACTGAGAAATCAATTGAAGAAGTAGCCAACGACGTTGAAAAGGAAATCGATGAAAACCGTAAGAGGAAAAGATCTGAAATGGAAGGTACTAAAGAAGATGCCAAAGAAACAACTCAGGAAATTAAGCCAGAAAAGAAGGATCTCGAAAAAGTAGAAGAAGCTAAGACAGAGCTAGAGAAGGCTGAAGATAAACCAAAGGAGACTGAAGCAAAGCTGGAACCAAAACCGGAACCAAAGGCGGAAGCAAAACCGGAAGCAAAGCAGGAATCAAAGCCGGAAGCAAATCCGGAACCAAAGCCAGAGTCAAAGCCAGATTCAAAGCCAGAGCCAAAGCCAGATTCAAAGCCAGAGCCAAAGCCAGAAGCAAAGCCTGAAGAAAAGCCAGAGGTAAAGCCAGAGGTAAAGCCAGAGACGAAGATTGAGGAAAAGAAGGAAGAAAATGAGCAATCAGAAAATATCCAAAAACAAGAGAGTGAAAATATAAATGGAAATGACAACAAAGATATAGAGAAAAATGGAGAAAAAACTACAGAAAATGCCGAAGAGAAACCAAAGGAAACAACTGAAGAGAAGCCAGAGGTAAAGGTAGACCAAAAGCCTGAAGGCGAAGCTGAAAGTAAGAAGGAGGAAAACCCTGAAGAAAAAGCGGAGAAAAAGGAAGAGAACAATACTAAATCTCCAGAAAAAGCAGAAGTTGTTCCACCACCAAAGGTTGAGGAGCAGAAAGATGTTGAAATGGAAGACGACTCTGGAGCTAAGCCTACTCCTGAAGCAGTTGTTCAGACCTCCTCTGGCAAGAGAGTCAAGGTTGAAGAAACTTCTGACCAAATGATTGATATTCCAAAAGCCGGCAAGTAATTTATCATATCTTTGTATTCAAATTAAGTGAAAATATACTGGGAAAATATCATTATCCATCTTTGATTTTGAAGAAGGTGCATTTGGATTCTCGAATTTCTTTTATTCAATTAAACATTCGACTTAGGGGTTTTGGGGTTTTGGGGTTTTGGGGTTTTGGGGTTTTGGGG